AATAGATTATGACCTCACCTTAACTTGGTTACATCTGCAAAGAAACTTCTTTCCAAATAAGGTCATATTCACAGAGTGAATATCAAGATTTGGGGATACTATTCAACCCAGTACACCATCCAACACGCTCTCTATGTTCTATTTATATATTGTCTCTCTCTCCTACTAGAATGTCAGCTCTATGAGGTTAGGGACTGTTGTCTATTTAGCTCATTGCTATATCCTCAGTGTCTGGAACAGTGCTTGACACATAGTTGACACTCAAGAAATATTTTGTGAATGAATATTTGTACCTATCTGCCCTCTGCCCCACAGGGAATCTGAATGAGAGAAGCAGGGATAAAGATGGGAATGCAGGTATTGCCTAGAACATAATGAGTGCTCTGTAAATGTTCACTGGATGAATAGAAGTATTTGATGGATATATTAATTAAACACTTACAGAGCACCTATTTTGTACAAGGTACTGAGGAAAGGTACAAAGAAGTGAGAAGGAAACATCTGAGCGTCTTGGCTATGCCTCTGTGTGACCCTGGGCAGATCATTCAAACTCTGGGTTTCACTTGCTTCACCCGTAAGATGGAGGTAAGTGTGTTTGTACGTGTAAAGTGTTTAGCACAGTGCCCAGAACATGGTAAGCACCAAAGACATGTTATTCATTACTGTGTAGTTGCTGTTATGTGCTAGACTCTGGGCAAGGTGTTTTTTTAAAAAAAAAAACAAACTGGCTTTATCTAGATATAATTGACATATCATAAAATTCCCCATTTTAAAATGTACAATTCAGTAGTTTTTAATTAACAGGGCTGTGCAAGCATCACTGCAATCTAATTTTAGAACATTTTCATTCTCCCTCCAAAAAACCCCATACCCATTAGCAGTTACTCCCCTTTCCCCAACCCATGCCCCAACCCCTGGCAACGATTACTCTACTTTTTATCTCTATGGATTTGCCTATTCTGAAATTTCATATAAATGGAATCATACAATATCTGACCCTTTGTATCTCTTTCAGCATAATGTTTTTGAGGTTCACCCATGTTTTAGGATGTATCAGTACGTCATTCCCTTTCACGGCTGAATAATATTCCATTGTGTGGCTATACCACATTTTGTTTACCCATTTATCGATAGACGAACATTCAGTTGTTTCTACTTTTTGGATATTATGAATAATGCTTCTATGAACATTCATATACAAGTCTTTGTGTGGACGTATGTTTTCATTTTTCTTGGGCACATACGTGGGAGTGGAATTCCTGGGTCATATGTTAACTCTATGTTTAACATTTTGAGAAACTTCCAAGCTGTTTTCCAAAGTGACTGCACCATTTTACATTCTCACCAGCAATGAATGAGGGTTCCAGTTTCTCCACATGCTCGTCAATATTTCTCTTTGTCTGTCCATTTTATTTTAGTTATCATAGTGGGTGTGAAGAGGTATCTCAGTGTGTGTGTGTGTGTGTGTGTGCGTGCGTGTGTTTTAAGAAGCCGATGTTTATTTTTCAACAACCCTACTTCCATTTTCTGTTTAAGAGCCTGTGGAAGAACAGCTTAAGACCACTCAGGGGTCATTCCTACCCACTCAGCGACCTGAGTGGTGGGAGCTGCAGACCAGTCTTCAGTGGCAGGCTGAGCACTCCAGTCTTCAGCAGGGAAATGCTGGATAGGCACAGAGGGCACCTGCATGCTTTCAGACCAGTCTGCGACCTCGAGTTTAGCAGCAGTAAACTCAGGAGCTGAAGAAGTCCATTCACCCTGAAATTCCTCCTTGGTCACAACCTTTGCTGCAGCAGCTGCTCTTCCTTTTCAGTCTCTTCAGATCTTTGTAGAAGTAGAGATCAGACATGACCTCCCATAGATGCTCATGGGAGATGGTGCCACACATGCGCAGAACTTCCCAGGCCAGCGTACACCACATCAGACCCACTGAGTGGGCTCCCTTTTTGTTGCATGGGAAGGCAAAGTCCACGTGGCACAGAGGAGAATCTGTGTTACACAGAGGCATGGTAGGCAGGTTAACATAAGACATCTCTGTGTGAGGCCAGTGGTTAGCCCTGGGATCAGTAACCACCAGAAGTCGTGGCTCCCTGAAGGTGTCCTAGATCTGGTTAGTGAAGGTTCCAGGAGTGAAGGGGCCAGGAATGGGAGTGGCCTTGATGGCAGCAGCACACTTCAGCACAGCTCGCTGGCTAGTATTTCTGGAGGACATGACACTAACATCAGCCAGGTTTTCAATGGCGACAATGGCACAAGCCATAGCAGAAGCTTCTCCCAGGTTCTCTTCAGATTTATTATGTAGATGCCATCACTTTTCCTTATGTAGATGCACTGTTCCATTTGGAAGTCAAGGTTGGTGCCACCTAAGTGGTTCTCAGCTGCAAGGAATTTAAGTACATCCTCCTTTTTCACCTGCAAGACATCAGGGGCTCCGGACACTGTAAAAGTTCCTCTTTAAGTTATGATGGGAACTCAGAACAATGCCTTATGGGTAGCACGGAAAGCTTGTGTGGTTTTGATCTGCATTTCCGTGGCGGCTAATGATATTGAGCATCCTTTCATGTGCTTATTGGTCATTTGTACATCTTCTTTGGAGAAGTGTCTATTTAAACCCTTTGCCCATTAAAAAAAATTGAGTTGTCTTTTTTGTTGACCTGTGAGAGTTCTTTACATATTCTGGACACAAAGCCCTTAGATATATCATTTGCAAATATTACCTCCCATACTGTGGGTTATCTCTTCTGTGTTAAATGTTTTTGCATGCTTTTTTCCAAGACCACCTCTGTGAGGTAGGTGTTATTGATAGGGAAATGGAAGTTCAGAAAGGAGAAGATGGAATTTAAATCTAGTTTTGTGTGACAGTAAAACTCGTACCTTCTCCTCTACCCCAACCTGCCCACAAAGATGAGTGACAACATGTTTCTGGCTTTAAGGAACTCATCTGGCGGAGGACATAAAACAAGAACACAAATGAATGTGCTATGAAGCAGAGTTCCACTTGTCCCACAAGTGCCACAAGAAAGGTGTAGGGGAAATGCAGTAGGAAGTCAAGAGGAGAGAGAAAGCGAGCACTTCTGGCTGGGGAAATCGGAGCTGGCTTTGGCATGCTGGCATTTAAGTCCTGAAGGCTGGGTATAGTTTCATTGGATGGAGATGATGGACTGAAAGAAGGAGAGCATTTCCAAAGGAGAGCAGAAAATGAGGGTTGAATGAAGGAATGGAGCTTTGATCCTGAGATTGGCTGCCATGGGGAGTCCCAGGGCTTGCTGGGATGGGAGATCCTGGGACTGCCTTGGTTGGAGGACAAGGAACTGGCTAACCCGTGGGATCCTGGGGTGGGCTGGGATAGGGGAACTGGGCATTGGCTTGGATGAGAGTTTAGGGGCGGCTGGAGTAAGGGATGCCTGTGATGTTGTGTGTGGGAGGTGCAGTGTACCAGGGTCTGCCTGGGATGGGGGAGATGGGGACTGGCTGGGCTGGAGGGACACAGGCCTGGCTGGGATGGGGAGATGGTCCAGAGACCGGCTAGGATGAGAGATCCAGCGACTGCCCATGACATGGGCTGGGGGGTGGTCGCCTGAGATAGGTCCAGGCGTTGGAGGGGATGGGGAATCCGATACTGGGCTTGGCAGACTCAGGGAATGGGGAGTCCGTGGAATGCCTGAACCTGGGGTCTCCCTGGCATGGGGGTTCCTGGGATGTCTTCGGTGAAGATCTTGGGCCTGGCGGACCCGAGGGACATGGGAATGGATTGGGATAGAGGGCTTCGTTAGGCTGCATTAAGTGAGGACCGGGACTGATGGAATGGAGAGATCTCTGACAGTTCCTGATGGGACTAGGCCTGGCTTGGCCTGGGTGCCTCGAGGCGGGTCGGGCTTCGGGTGCGGGTGGCAGCTGCAGGTGGGGCACGCGGGGGCGGCCTGGGCGAGCAGGGTTGGGGCGGGGGCGGGGGGCGGGCCAGCGGCCGGGGCGGTCCCGCGCGGCCGCGCTGCGCAGTGACTCCGCAGCGGGCGGAGCGCCGTGGGCAGCGTCCTCCCTAGCCGTGGCGGTGGTGGTGGCGGCGGCGGCAGCGGTAGCGGCAGCCGCAGCCTCAGCTCCTGCTACCGGTGCCGCCGGCCCCAGCGCTGTCTCCCGGGCCCCCCCGGGCCCCCGGGCCCTCGAGCCCGGTGCGTGCCCTCGCGTCCCGCCGGCCCCCTCCCCCGGCTGGGCCCGGGGGAGGGTGGCGCCGTGAGCGAGCGGGGACTGGGCTCTCTTGCCCGTTCCCCTGCCCCTGGGCCGCCAGAATGGAGGCGGGGTCGGGGCCCCCGGGCGGTCCGGGATCAGAGAGCCCCAACCGGGCGGTGGAGTATCTGCTGGAGCTGAACAACATCATCGAGAGCCAGCAGCAGCTGCTGGAGACCCAGCGTCGGCGCATCGAAGAGCTGGAGGGCCAGCTGGACCAGCTCACCCAGGAGAACCGCGACCTGAGGGAGGAGAGCCAGCTGCACCGCGGGGAGCTGCACCGGGACCCCCACGGCGCGCGGGATAGCCCCGGCCGCGAGAGCCAGTATCAGAACCTGCGCGAGACCCAGTTCCACCACCGCGAGCTGCGGGAGAGCCAGTTCCACCAGGCGGCCCGGGACGTGGGCTACCCGAACCGGGAAGGCGCCTACCAGAACCGAGAGGCTGTGTATCGGGACAAGGAGCGGGACGCCTCATACCCGCTCCAGGACACTAGCGGTTACCCAGCCCGCGAACGCGACGTTGCCCAGTGCCACCTGCACCACGAGAACCCAGCCCTGGGTCGTGAGCGTGGCGGGCGGGAGGCCGGGCCAGCGCACCCGGGCCGAGAGAAGGAAGCTGGCTATTCGGCGGCGGTGGGCGTGGGGCCCCGGCCACCGCGGGAGCGGGGCCAGCTGAGCCGTGGCGCATCCAGGAGTTCCAGCCCCGGGGCCGGCGGTGGTCACAGCACCAGTACCAGCACCAGTCCGGCCACAACCCTCCAGAGAAAGTAAGGAACGTGTGTTTGTACCCCCCGGCTCTTCCCCTCTAGTTCCCTCTCCAACTTGTCCGCCTGGTAAAGTAAGAAGCCAGTGTCTGATTCCATGTCCTTTTCTCCTGTCCCAGCCTGTCAGGAGAAGCCAGGTCCCCCTCATGCAGCGACACCCCTTCTCTAGTCACCCCAGACGGGGCTGGTCGGATGAGTGCAGGCGTCTCTTCTTTCTCAAAACCGTGGCCAGTGAGGGCCTAGAGCGGTCATCACCCCCTCCACTTCCTTCACCCCCTGGCTGTATCCTTGCCAGAAGATGGTTTTTCTTTTACTTATTTATTTTGAATATGCTGGTTGGGATTTTTATTGTCTGCGATGTTGTCAAGTCAGACCCCCAAGGGAAAGAAAGCCCTCCCCCCACTTTTTTTTTTTTTTTTGGCCTATTCGGGTCTCTTCTGTAGGTCCTTAGTGCAGGCCTGATCTTGTCTCCTCCGGCTGCCTCAGCTCCATCCTTTCCCAGGGAGGCGGGTGGGGGCCAGAACGCCTGCTGGAGGTTGAGACATCCCTCTGAGGAGAACTGCCGTACATCCTGGCTGGGAGAGCAAAGATGGGGGAGCAAAGATGGAGGCCTGACCCTTGGCTGGTTCCTCAAAGACCACCCCCTCTCCACCCCCAAGAAAAACACCACCCAATTAAACAGTGTACCAGAAAGGGAAGTCTACAGATCTTTCCTCTTTTGGATCAGAGCCAGTTTCTGTGCTAGGGTCTGTGTGTCTGCCTATTTGGGACACCTTGGCAATATCTCTTGGGTTGGTGGGCCATGGGCTGGGTGCACTTCTTCCATGCAGATACCATGGTGAGCTGGCTGGGATGAATGTCAGGCTGAGAGAGTCAAGGGCACGCAGGCTCACAGGGCTGCCCTAAAGGCTTCCTGATTTCTGTTCCGCTGTACTGGAGACAACGCTGAACTGGGAGTTAGGAGACCCGGCTTCCCCTTCCAGCTCTGCGACCTTGACTGAGTCCCTTCCTCTCTCAGGCCATCAGTTCCCTCATATCTTTCTAAAAGGCAAGGTCTGCCTTAAATGCTCTTTGAGGACCCCTCCTGCTTAGATTTGATGGTTCTGTGGCTAATCCAGCCACACTACAGAGCAAGTCTGAAGTCCTCTAGCGAATGGACAGCCTTCCCCCTTCTCTCACTGCTCAGCTGGTCCTACCATGTGCCACAACCAGTAGAGTGTCTCTTGGAGGCTGGGCTGGGGGTGGGGAAGCCTTCTGCCTCAGGAAATCTGCTGGGAGACAGCTCTCTGCAACTCCCCCGTGGTGAGGCAGCAGGCTGGGGTGCTGGGTTGAGATGGCTGCGCCCCAGGAGCAGCAGCTGCAGCTCGAGGGCTCGGTTGGGCTCCACTGCAGTGCACCCTCAGCTGAATTTTGGTGTGGGCTGCCCCAGAGTAGTCTTGGGGTGAGGGAGATGGGCTCTCCTGTCCAGGTGGGGCTGCTGGGAACTGATTCCTGGAGGACTGCCTGAGTGCGGCTTGGGGCCCCACACTGGAGGAAGGGTCCAGCTCAGTCAAGCAAGGCCCTTTCAGGAGAGGGCCATGGTGGGGTGGGGGCAGTGGGCGACTTGATGGGCATTGTGGTCCTTGAGCTTGGGCTGCAGAAGACTTTTCTATCGTGGTCAGGCCAGTGATAGAGGAAGCAGCCTCCTTATGTGTGGCTCCAGGGAGCAGAACCAGGAGCAGTGGGAAAATTTGGTGTAAATCAGGAAGAACTTTCCAATCTGGCCATCTGCAGCACCATGTGGGGGTGGGGGCTGGCTGAATGTGTCCAGCAGAGGCCCAGTGGGGGTCAGAGAGAGCTGGAGAAAGCATAATTCCTGAATCGGTATAAAGCCCAGTGAAATGACCTAAGTCTTCCCCAATTCCAGGATTCTCTTACCCTCAGATTCTCTATCTACAGACCTGGGTCTGAATCTCTTGGCTGGCTGGGAGCCCGTTTGCTCTTGAGCTCTGTGCTTCTGCCATCCATGCAAGCCTGCCTCTTGGTCCTTCCCTCTTTTTGTGCACCCTCCAGGCTGTTTGTTGGATTTCCTTGCTTCACATTTCCTGCTGGATTAATAAGGGGATTTAAATAGTACTTTGAATTTCTCCTAACCATATATTCAATATTTGCACATCCATTTTTACCTTTTTTGGTCCTCACAACAGGCCCTGTGCAGTGAGCGTTAGCAACTCCATTTTAGAGATGGGGAAACTGAGGCTCCAAGGGGGAGGGACGTTGCTCAAGGTTATGCTGCTGGTTCCTAATGGAGCTGGGACTAGAACCCAAGTCCGCTTGTCTCCGAGGCCTGTTGTTTTTCCACTAGAGCTCTCCAACCCACAGGAATCTCTTGGCATCAGGACCTGGCCAGGTCACGAACTGGGAGAGGCCAGGAGAACCTTAGGTATCTAGAGGATTTGAGCTAAAGGAGATGACTCTTGGATGAGTGGAGGAGTCAACAGGGGAGGGGAGAAGGCTATGTCTCCCTCCTTTCCACTCTCCTTCCCAGCCAGGCGTCAGGAGGGCCTGTTGATGCAGTAGCCATTGCTGCCACCACAGCTGCTGCAAGGGACTCCTGTGCCAAGCCTGTTCTGTGTCTGTAAGGAGTGGGTGAGAAGGCTGCTGCTGGAAGCCAGGGCAGGCAGGGTGGGAGTTTAGCAGCAGAGGCTGCAGCATTGGGGGAGGATAGGTAGAGCCGGTACAGGCTGGGCGCTTCTGGTCCCCAGGCTCCCTCTGGTGGAGGAAGAGGGGAGAGACGGGCCTAGGCCCAGCTGCCGCTTGTTGAGGGCCGCTTTGCCTAGGGAGTTATTCAGTCCTCCCAATGACCATGAGTGTCTGTCACCACAATCCACATTTTTACAGCTGAAGAAACTGAGGGCTCAGGGAAGTGAAGCAACACACCAGAGGTCACACTACCCATAAGACAGACTCCTGGTCCTGTGAACTTTCCCTATGTGGTTGATAGCAGCTGTCATGTCCACTCCCACCCATGTCATGCCCCCAGGATTCCCACCTCCTCCCGCACTGTCTCATCTGGACAGGTTTCTGGATGCCAGGCTGCCTTCTGCTGTGCTCTGGGTGTGGCCTTTCTAGTGCAGCATAGAGCCAGATGAGGCCTGACTTCCTGCTGGCCGCTGGTCCTCTGTATGTGAGGGCTTTGCTTGTTTGTTTTTCAGTAGCTGCTGGTCTCCACCAATGCTCAGGTCTTTTTCTTTGGGATTGTTGCCTCTCTCCAGATGATTAGAGAAGGGCTGTGCTTTGGCGTTGATCTTGGCCTGACCCTCCTTGCAGGTCTGGTGCCTGGAATGATTTATAGGCGTGCTGGGGGCCACTGCTCAGTTGCTCCACGCTGAAGAGAGCTGCATTTCCCATACTTTTTGCATGGGCCTAGCTCTGGCTCTACTGTGGGCGGTGGGGGGCTAAGGCTGGTTTGGTGGTAACTGCATACTCTGCCCCCACCCCATGCCCGCCCTGCAAGCTGGCTCACTTTGGGGGACAGCTACCAGAGGGGCCAGCCTGTTCTTGACAGCCAGGGCAATGTGTGATCTACCACATGGCTGCTGGCCTGTCTCCTGTGTGCAATGGGGTGTCAGAGTGCTCCCCGCAGGAGCTAAGGGCACTGGGAGGGAGGGAGAGAGTGGGCCCAGGGAGGGGCCCTGGGGAAGTCTGTCTTCTTTGGGGTCTTGAGGATTCTTCCCAGGGGGATTCTCTCCTTCTTCCCAGGAGGAAAAACCATTTACTGTCCCCCTACTGTGTTGGAAGCCTTATACTTGTGTGGGAGGAAATGATAATGTCGAGTTGAATGAGAATTAGAGGAGTCTTGCTTCTCTGTCTAGATCCTGGGCAAGAATGGCGTTGTTTTCATCCACAAACATTTCTTGGCTGTGTGCACAGAGCAGAAGGGGCCACCAGGCTCAGCAAACACCGTGCTCTCTGTCCTGGAGAGCCCCTCTCCCCCTGGCCAGAGACACAGGGTTCCAGGCCTGCCCATTGCGATGGTACTCAGGACAAAATGAGTAGCAAGGGTGGTGAGGAATGGAGGTTTTTCGGACGAAGGAGAGATCAGGTCAGGCCAGGCCACTGGTCGAGGACCCGGGAGGGGAGCTCTGAAGAGAGTGGGTGTCTTCTGGTGTCCAATGGAGGGCGAGGTAGGAGTAAAACTGGACCCAGGCTTGCTCTCTGCTACTCTTTCATCTGTCCCACACCCTGCCTGCTGTGGCCTCTGAATTTGCTGGGAGTGTAGTAAAGGCATGGAGCATGGCGAAAAGGCCACACGCGTCCTGAGTGAATCTCAGCCAGGCACCACCCTATGTGGCTTTATGTAATAATAGCTAACATTTTTTTTAAACTGCATTTACTGTGTGCCAAGCACTATTTGTTCTAAGCGCTTTCCATGTATTAGTTCATTCAGTCTTCACATGAATCCTTTGATGTAGATATTGCTGTTAAATCTGCTTTACAGATGAGGAAACTAAGGACCAGAAAGGTTGTTTAACTTACCCAAGGTCACTCAATGAATAAGCAGCAGAAGTGAGAAGGAGCTAAAAGGATTCCAGGTGGTCGGGCCCCACAGTCTGCCTGCCTCCTTCTTACCCACCATGCAGTATTGCCTCTTATCTCATTCGCAGAGTCCCTTCCAGGTGGGTGTTATTATTATCCTCATTTTTCAGACGAGGAAACAAGAATCAGAGAGGTGCGGTGACCTGCCTGAGGTTACACAACTGCATGGGCCCAGAACTGTCTGGCTCCCGAGCCCATGGTACACCATTGCCTCCTGCAGGCTGGGTATGAAGATGTTGAAGATACTCCAGGCATGGCTCCGGGCTTGCCCCAGCAGAGCTCTGGGGACCACTGCTTGAGTCAGGCTCCCTCTCCTGATGGCCTCCTGGATTTTTGCCGTAGTCTTCTAATAGATGCCCCTCCTGCTCTTGCTCCATCAAGCCTCTGATGAGGTACGGCCAGGCCAAGGTTTCTGCAGAGCTCCAGTGGTTTCACTGTCTCTTGGCCTGCAGGAGAATGTTCAGACTCCTCTGCCTGCCATGCACAGTCCTCTTGGGATCTGCCCCCAACTTGCCTTTCTCTTCTCATTTTTTCATAGTCCCCTTTACATAGACCGGGCTGCAGCCAGACTGGCCTGTGTGCCCCAACGTTAGCTCACGCAGCCTTCTAATGACCTCTAGGTCTTTGCTAATGATGTTCTCTTCTCCTGGGCTGCTCCATCTAGTTCCCAGGCTGAGGCCTGCTGTTACCTCTCCCATCCTGTCATCTCTCCCATGTTTTTTCTTTCTTTTTTTTTTTTAAAGATTTTATTTTTCCTTTTTCTCCCCAAAGCCCCCCAGTACATAGTTGTATATTCTTCGTTGTGGGTCCCTCTAGTTGTGGCATGTGGGACGCTGCCTCAGCGTGGCTTGACGAGCAGTGCCATGTCTGCGCCCAGGATTCGAACCAACGAAACACTGGGCCGACTGCAGCGGAGCGCGTGAACTTAACCACTCGGCCACGGGGCCAGCCCCTCTCCCGTGTTTTTTCGCTGGTCGCTCCCAGTGCTCGGTCTATCCCTGACCCTTGAAATGAGCACTTTGCCCCTTTTTGTACCTTGATGGTTATTTGTTTACATCTTGTGTCCTACTACATCGAGAGCCCCTTCAGATTGAGATTTAATGACATATATCAAGTGCATTTTGTGTCAGTCCCTGGACTAGGAGCTGTGGGCATGAAGGAGCTGGAAACACATAGCACAGCACATAGTAGCTGCTCAATAAATGCTGAGTAGACAAATGAATGTCAGATTAAGTCCTGGTGCACTAATAGCCAGAGATGCCTAAGTTTTTCTTCATTCCAGGACTCCTCTAGAGATGACTCAACTTCAGAATTCTCTTGGCTTCTGTATGGCTTTTTCCTCGTGCTCCCTGGAGCTGTTTGGCCTCTGCTCTCTGTGCTCCTCACGCTCACCAGCCTCCCAGTTGGTAGAATGTCAGGGTAGCAGACTCAGACTAGTCTTTGGAGACATTTAGGCCAATCTGCTTATTGTTAGCTCTCCCTCCTGTGCCACGGCCATGTCATACGTGGTCTGGACCCTCAACATAAGATCTTCTGTTCTGAAAGGAGCAAAGAGGCCTGTGTAGGACCTGTGTGCAGTTCGCCCAGTCCAGCGGGACGTTACTTATTTGTCTGTCAAATCTGTATTGGGCTCAAACCCTGGGCTGGACACAGTGTCTTGGAGTCGGAATAAGGTGCAGCCCCTCTGGCTCATTCCCTGCTGTCTTCCCTGGCAGAATCATAAACATTGGTCATGGGGAAGAATGATGAATAAATGACTTCCTTCCTCTTTTGAGGTAACTCATTTAGGGCAAGAGCATTTGCTAGTTACTCGAACTTCCTCACGGTGTTTGGTCTCTCCTCAAGCATCCATGTTGAAAGCATTTACACAGGGAAGCCCATTCTCAAACACTTAGCTGAAGCTCTCTGGGACCTTAGCATTTGAAGAAAGTGTGGTGCTGTGGAAGGAGGATTTTGTGTGACTCTAGGCAAGTCACTTAACTTCCAGAGCCTCAGTTTTCTCAAGTAGTAAATGGGGATAAAACTGTATTTTTGGATATACAAGATTCGTCTTGCCCCGCCCCCACAAAAATGTATCAGGAAATTTCCTGGCTGCCTAGCACACCCATCGAGGTCCTGATCAGGATGGAAGACTGAGAGACAAGGACGGAAAATAATACGTGAGGCTGCCCTGCCCCCTGGAGGTGGACTGTAGCAAACCAAACAACCCAGCCGAGGTTGTCGCATCACATTCTTTTCAAAACAAAGATGACAAGCCAGAGCTACGTGGCCCATCAGGATGATTTTGCTACCATTTTAGAAGGAAATGTATCACCATTATCACCTGATATGTACCATTTCACTAATATCAACCACATTTCTTTGCAGCTATGTGATTTTTATACCTTTTTTTGAGGGATAATATGACTACATATCTGGGCCTGGTAATTTCCTGCTGGATTCCAGGATGCAGTATACTGCATTCACTTAAATAAAACCAATATTTTCCTCTATATAACCACTTTAAAAT